CGACAATCATGCTGATTTGTCTTTCTACTTCTTTGCTTCTAAGAACCAAAGTTCTATATTAGTGTACTAAGTGCATAATAATACGATAATTATTATAATAAGCAGGTTCTAATTCTGCTGGTGATAACATCATTCCTTTCTGAAGTGGTGCTCTAATTTGTGCTCTTCTATCACTTGAACTTGATGCTATGAAGTGTTCCATTCTTGTCAATGAATGATCTGGATATGATATCAGCTAAAGCATTATTAGTTTCTTTAATGTGTTCAAAAACTGGTTTAAAGCTATTTTCAATATTACCATCAACAAAGTTAACCAATCTTGTTGCTTGTTTATTAATAGTAATTTTGTTATAATGAGATACAACATTTTGACAATCTGTTGTAATTGCAAAGATTTCATTATGTAAAAGTAAAGAGAATAACTCAAGAGAGTTAATATTGCTAAATTTTTAAAATTAGTTGCTGGAAAACGACATTGTACTTCACTAAATTTTCCTGAGGCATATCCACATATTTGCTCTTCAAATTTTGGTGATTCTTTAATTTTCTTTTGATATAAAATTCATACCCATCTTAAATCCTAATAATGAATCCAGGATAAGATATTCAATTCTCCTTGGATTATGATTACATTGTTTAATCCCAGTGATATCATGATTTGACATGAATTAGGATTTCTTTACTTAAGAGTCAAGTAAACTCCTCAATAGGCTAAAGTCTATTGGACCCGTAACGGAGTGCCTAAGCCCTAGGTAATTCAGCCCAGGGTGCTTAGCGTGGCCATGATCATGTGATAAGGAAAATTTCGGCCATTCCAACCATCTTATGTGCCACGTGGCATGTGCCCTAAAAATCATTATCCCACAAATGCCTTTAACTATGTATTTTAGAATGCCCTGCGCTCAAGAATGAATGGTTACAAACGGACCAGGAGCAAATCTCTCTAAAATGACGTTTTTGTATATCGAACACTTCTTGTTGATATGGAGCTGGACTATTCTGACCAGTCCTGCTTGCTCGCCTATCAATAATCTGGTTGGAGTTCCGAATGCACAAACTTAAAAAGATGAACACATGGCAGAAAGTGCTTATTCCTTAAGTATCCTTAGAAAGGCTTAAATACATTTTAGGAGATAGTTTGCTATTGCATTTTTTGCGCCTTTACATAGTTTAATCCTTAAAGTAAAGTTTTAAGTAGTCATCCCTTGGTTCATTTTCCACGGAATGTGGTTTTAATCCGATAATCATACCGGATTAGACTTTTTTCGAAGTTAAGAGCTGCAGAATCTAACATGATATTAAGTTTGTAAGATAAGGCTTAAGCCAGCCTGTTTGCTTTTCCGCACTTGGGTTAAAAAAGTGTTTGTATCCTAAAATTTATGTTTCATTAGGAGCATCGCTACAATTATTGGAGTACCACTTTACTCTGATTTCAAACCAAAGGCCCATGATACGTTTCGTGTTCCTAAACTTGCTTTTAATGGAATATTAATAGGATCAACGATGAAATTTAGCAAATAAACTTACCTGGAATGAACTCCAGAATTTAATGTCAGTCCGACATATTTTGATTGCTTTGCTGGCACTTATAAAAATAATCTAACACTTAGTTGAAATAAACCTAAGTGTTTAATGAATCAGATTTTAGCTTGAATTAGATTCTACACATAACCGTGAGTAGACCAAAAACCAGGGAGTACGTGCAAGGTTAAGACTCAAGCAATGGGTAAGAGAATATGTGTACAGAGATTGCGTAACCAGAGATAAATCTTAGCAGGGTGTATTTATACTATTAGAGGAGATGACCTTTTAGGATAGTATAATCTTTGTTAAACCTAGAGAATCCCAAATGATATCTAGGAAGTAGATATTGCATCCTCTTAGGAGTGTAATTACTTGCGGCGCACTCTAATCCTTAGATTTTAAGGACTCCAAGATTATAGGAAACATGCTGATTCCTCTCTAGATTAGGTTCCCGAATCTTGCGGAATAAGCATGATCAATCTCAACGAAGTCATCGCACTTCACCAACTGATTCCAGAACAAGATCAAACTTCGTCCATTGATTCCAGAATAGGATCAAAGTGTGCCGACGAAGACGTTGGGCCCCTAAGGGGGGTGGATTGTAACATCTCACATCGCCCAGGAGAGTGGATCATGTAAGCCTTATATGTATATTCTCATCTCTACCTAGCACGAGGCCTTTTGGGAGCTCATTGACTTCGGGTTCTATAGGAACTCTGAAGTTAAGCGAGAAAGGGGCCAGAGCATTCTCAGGATGGGTGACCCATTAGGAAGTTCTGCTCGCGTGAGTTCTCAAAAACAAAACTGTGAGGGCGTGGTCGGGGCTCAAAGAGGACAACATCGTGCTACGGTGGAGTCGAGTCCGGGATGTGGTGGGGGCCCGGGCCAGGATGTGACATCTGAGGTATGCGGATTCCAATCCACCTTACTCTGACCCTAGAAAATCATTGCCCACACAATAAATTTAGTGCCTTTTACCAAGTTACTCTGTGAGATAGAGTTCCATTTGGAAAATTTCATCTTGAGAATTCTTAGTCTAGTTGCCTATTTTAGTCCTGCTTAAGCGCAAGATCGCTGCCAGGTTTATTGACTTTGTACGCTGCTTTAGGATATAAGTAATCGTACTCAGGGGTACAGTTTGAAGGCACCACTTGCATGATTTCCAGATCACCCTTCTGATTATTCCCTCGAATGGCCAGAGCCTGGGCTTGAATCTTATAACAAATAGCCTTTGGGTTGCATAAACTTTTGGAAGCCGAATATTTGTGTTGAATCATCGAATAGCATGGCCAAGTCCCAACATTAAAAGTTTACCCATTATAACTGCTCTTAATACGGCTCAAGTCTACTCAAACTCCTTTGACTCTAGTACTTTGAAAGTTTTAGACTTGCATTCTTACATAGTTTCCAAGTAATCCGACAAAGTTATGCCTTATGGTAATCGGGCTTCTGACCTATACTGAAAAAGATAGAGTAAGATAGAACAAACAAAATCACGCAATGATCAAAATTTCATATCCATGCAAAAGGGAATGGAGGTTTGCTATGAGGGTGGCAAGGTTGCACATTCCTTGGCTATCTATAGCGATAATATGAAAAGATCATCCCTAGCTTTGGGGGTTTTATGTCATGAATATGCAATATCCGACGTTGGCCCATACTAGGTGCCTAATTCATTGCAAAGGATGTTATGACTTGAACAAGTTGATTTGGCTTGCGGTCAATTGATGAAATTAGACTTGGACTTATCAAAGGCTCAGTAGGTAGTAACTATACATGGTTGAGGTTAACTTTAATCAGAGTTGTAGCTTATGCACATGACCAGTTATGATTTCATTCTCCAATCTTGTCTAAGAATCTTTAAAGGACGTAACATAGCTGCATTTGATCACATATACAATTAAATAATCGAAAGTACTTATCTCTTGGAGCGTTACCAAAGTTTGTACCCAGGTTCATCACCCGATGAATGAGCCTTCATTCCCTTCCATGCAACTTCCAAGAATTGTAGCGTGAAAGTGGGCTTCCATACTTGTAAGGGAATATGTTCATGCTTTGGTCCCTTGTGCTGGTCGAAGTTTAAACCTAAAAAGGTGAACTTTACTGATCCACAAAAAAACTCTGCTTGCACTGTTGGTAGTAAAATGGTGATATCTTCCTCATTAGTGGCTGGAATCATAAGCTGTAAAGTGTTGTGGAAAGATGGTGTCATAGCTTTCTAGTAATATAAACTACAATGTCCAATTTTGTCTGAGAAAATCTAGTTTACTCCACAAATTCGAATGGTGTGCATAGGCAGTTTGTTAGTTGCATGTTGCTCCACACCAAAGTTGGTTCATGTTCCGTGTTAGAATTAGTTTACGTTCTGTTTTGGAACCATATTTAGGCAGATCCAGAGTTGCATACACACTTTTCATGTCCTACAAATGCATTAAGATTACTTGTCGCGCATACTAATTCTTAAATTGTAAGAAGCTCTAAGAATATAGGAAATTAATTTGATACCCCAGTCCGATCAGGTCTCCATATCTTGAGCTTTCAACTATTTTAAAAACATTTCCAAACCAGCCCTAATAGTTTCTATTTTCATAGTTTGATTGGTGGAACATTTTATTAGCTTGATTCCATTGCTTGTTCTATCATCGATCTCTTATGCTCATATAATTAAATATCATTCAAATGTTTTTTTTTTTTTTTTTTTTTTTTTGCCCTAACGAACATCTGTAGTTGCGCTAAACTATTGATATTTCATTTTCTTTTGATGACAGAATAGTAAAACGATAAGACTAATTAGCTAATGCATAGCAACCAATTAAAAAGACTCCATAAAAACTGACCCAGCCTCAGCAAACTCTCTCTATTTGATAGTGATATTTGTCAAGATGTCAACTAATTATGAAAAAACACGAAAACGTTTGGTACTGATCTGGTTTATGGTAATTTTATCCAAAATTATATCCGTCGCTGAATTTTAAAATTTAGATAACTTCAAGTCTGGATATATATTGGATATCAAAGTGTTTGATTTTTGATATTATTCTAACATTCTATCCGATGGAAACTTATTGTTATCCAGATATTCTTAAAATATCAGAAGTTTAGTTTTGATAAAACACATATTGGTTTAAGAATTTTTTTTTTCTTTACTCCCACGCTTATAAATAGAGGACATCTCCTCCTCATTCCTTCACACTGTTCTCTTGTTACTCTGACGATGGCTCTTTCCAACTCTTTTAGTTTTGCGTTTTGTTTCTGTTTTTCTGTGATTCTTTTAAGCTTTTATGCTAATGCTACTGATGTTTCTCATGATGGGAGAGCCATCACAATCGATGGTAAAAGGCGACTGTTGCTTTCGGGTTCAATCCATTATCCTCGAAGCACACCACAAGTAATCTTGCTCGTCGTCTTTAACTAGTACACTCTAACTTGGTGCTTTTCACGTTCTTTTTATAACGAATTTATCATGTTGTACACAGATGTGGCCAGACTTGATTAAGAAGTCCAAGGAGGGTGGACTAAACACAATTGAGACTTACGTCTTTTGGAATGTGCATGAGCCAGTTCGTCGTCAGTATGATTTTACTGGAAATCTTGACCTTGTTAGATTTCTCAAAACAGTTCAAGATGAAGGACTTTATGCTGTTCTTCGAATTGGTCCATATGTTTGTGCCGAATGGAATTATGGGTACGTTTGTTTGTCAACATATCATGTAGTTTTACATAATATTTTGTACCAAACACAATTTTACTTTGGATACAATTTAACTATCTGGATGTAATAATCAGAGGACTTCCCGTTTGGCTGCACAACTTGCCTGGCTGTGAGATCCGAACCGCAAATGATGTCTACATGGTAATTAAACGCGGTGACTTTTAGTTTACGCAAACCTAATTTTGCTATACAAGTCGCAACACTTAAACATTCTGCAGAATGTTATGAAGAATTTTACAACCATGATGAAACATTTAAACATTCTTATCTTTTGCAGAATGAGATGAAGAATTTTACCACATTGATTGTTGATATGATGAAAAAAGAAAAGCTTTTTGCATCTCAAGGTGGCCCAATTATTATTGCTCAGGTAATATATATGCATATAATTCGATTTCATCATATTATGCATCAAAATATAAATTTTGTGTGATAAATTGGCCGTAATTTTGTTAGATTGAAAATGAATACGGAAATGTGCAATCATACTATGGAGATGCTGGTAAAGCATATATGAACTGGTGTGCAAATTTTGCCGAATCTCTCGACATTGGAGTTCCATGGATTATGTGCCAACAAAGTGATGCTCCTCAACCAATGGTACAATATTCTCTTTTTTTTTTTTTTTTTTTTTTTTTCCCCTTAATTTTTAGTGTTTATAATTGTTACTTATTTATATATCGTTGTTATCAGATGAACACATGCAATGGTTGGTACTGTGATTCATTTACTCCAAATAATGAGAACAGTCCCAAGATGTGGACCGAAAATTGGACTGGATGGTAAGTTCTAGAATTAATACTAATTGAATCAATTTTGATGATATATTATTTTTGTTTTGTTACCTAATTTTCTAAATCTATATAATGCAACTGTAGGTTTAAGAGTTGGGGTGGCAAAGATCCACTTAGGACTGCTGAGGATCTTGCTTTCTCTGTTGCAAGATTTTTCCAGCTCGGAGGCACATTTCAGAACTACTACATGGTTGGCACATTAATTAATTAGATTAAATTGTATTTTGGTTCATTGTAATTTAATTCTTTCTAACATGATTTATGTCTTTTCTTTAAGTATCACGGTGGAACAAACTTTGGCCGAACAGCAGCTGCGTACATCACTACTACTTATGATTACGATGCTCCTCTCGACGAATATGGTAAGTAAATACTCAAATTTAAGTTCTAAACATGGCTTTGTGTTTGGCTCTATAACTTCTTAGTCCTTACTATTATCTCATTTTATAGGCAACTTGAACCAACCAAAATGGGGGCATTTGAAAGAACTCCATCAGATTTTGAAATCCATGGAGTATACTCTCACACATGGGAATGTCACAACCACAAATTTTGACAATTCTGTTTCAGTAAGATTATCCTTTTGAATTGACATAACTAATAAACCAAAGTTTTGTAGAATTTCAAATTGATACGATCGATATGTGCATGTATATTTTAGGCCACTGTGTACGCAACAAATGAGTCATCAAGCTGCTTTTTGGGCAATGCAAATAGCACAACTGATGCTACAATCACTTTTGAAGGGAATACATACACCATTCCTGCTTGGTCTGTTAGTATTCTTCCTGATTGCAAAACAGAAGGATACAACACTGCAAAGGTATGAACAATTAACTTTCACTGTGTGTGTAAACATATATAGTCTGGTTTATTAGGTATTTCTGAACTTCTTTTACCTAGTTTAGGTCAACACACAAACAACAGTTAAGGTGAAGGTAGTGAACAAGGCTGAAGATGAACCCGAATCACTTGCTTGGTCGTGGAGGCCCGAGACCATTGATGACACCAGAGTCCTTGCAAAGGGAGAAATTACTGCAAATCAACTTTTGGATCAAAAGGTTGCTGGAGATGATGCTAGTGATTATCTTTGGTACATGACAAGGTACAGTGGATATTTTAATTTTAATTTTCCATTTGTCCTTTTCTTCTAATATATTTAGTATTTTGGTTTACTCATTTTATTTATCTTGGATTTTCGGTAGTGTTCATCTCAAGAAAGATGATCCAATTTGGAGTAAGAACATGACTCTAAGGGTCAATGGCACCTGGTTTCATTCTTCATGCATATGTTAATGGAAAATATGTTGGTAAGACATACAATTATTGTTTCTTGATTAATCTTAAATATACTAATAAATTTGTTGTTTTATAGTTATTGATTTTCTTATATATCCTTGGTGCAAATAGGTTCTCAATGGGCTCAATACAACGTCTACAACTACGTATTTGAGAAGAGTGTCAAGTTACTTCCTGGCAAGAACATTATTTCGTTGTTGAGTGCTACTGTTGGATTTCCGGTTAGTATTATTGGATTGTTAAAATTAATTACTTAATTGTGATTAATTATTTCATTTAATTTAAAACTTTGAATCATGATTTGAATGATAACCAGAATTACGGAGGTGGATTTGAAGAGATCAAAACTGGAATTTCTAGGTCCAGTTGTACTGGTGGGACAAAATGGTGATGAGATTGTGATCAAGGATCTATCAGCACACAAATGGTCATACAAGGTTGGACTTCATGGTTTGAAAAACAAGCTTTTTAGCACCGATTCTCGTTACGCTACTAAGTGGTCAACGGAAAACTTACCCGTTAACCGGATGCTGACATGGTACAAGGTAATAAAACCCACTATATATATACACATATATTTAACTCTATATATCACTAATTAATAAACTGACAAAGTTAATAACAATTGTTTTTGTTTGATTTTGTTTAGGCAACTTTCAAAGCTCCTCTTGGAACTGATCCAGTTGTGGTGGACTTACAAGGTTTGGGAAAGGGTCACGCTTGGATCAATGGCCATAGTATTGGCCGGTATTGGCCGAGTTATTTGTCATATGATACTGATTGTAGTCTCGATGCTTGTGACTACCGTGGTTCATATGATAACAACAAGTGTTCCTTCAATTGTGGCAATCCTACCCAAAGATGGTAAGAACTTTATAGTTTACGCATTCATGTTTATTTACTTGGCAGTTTAATAACGATCACAGTTTTAATCGCTTTTAATTGTATTGAAGGTACCACGTTCCTCGATCATTTATGGAAGATGGAGAAAATACAATTGTGTTGTTTGAGGAGTTTGGTGGCAATCCATCTCTTGTGAATTTCCAAACCATCCAAGTTGGAACTGTCTGCGCCCATGCATACGAGAAGCACACAGTGGAATTGGCATGCGAAGGTCGTCCCATTTCTGCAATCAAGTTCGCTAGCTTTGGTAATCCCCGAGGAACCTGTGGATCATTTGAGAAAGGCAGCTGTGATTCTGGAAGTGCATTGTCGATCCTTAAAAAGGCAAGTCTTTTTTTTCTGAACACTTTAATTTTCAATGAACTTGAAAGGAGATTATATTCACATATCACAAATTACTCATTCCACACCCTTTTAATTTTTTAATATTTTTCTATCAAGTCTTAGTGGTATGTAGAAAATATTAAAAAATTAAAAGGGTGTGAGAGAAGTAATTTGATGTGTGTGAATATAATCTCTCTTTTATGAACCCTAATTTTCTATGTATATTATATCTAAGTAATTCTTATTTCTTTTCCCTAATGATTTTGTAGGAATGCGTGGGCAAAGAGAAGTGCTTGATCAATGTTTCTCAGAGCAAATTTGGCTTGACAAACTGCGGTGATGCCGTGAAGAGGCTGGCTGTGGAAGCTGTTTGCTAACAAAGTTTAGATTTTTCTTAATAATTTTGTGTTATGTGATCAGTTTAGTACTAGCTAGCTTGATGATCTAAGTAGCAAGGGTTAGATTAGGGCCATTAGCTGGGGTTTCTATCTTTTTTTTGGGTCAATTAGCTAGGGTTTCTATCAGTGTAGTCGGTGTTCAAAGGCACTGCCTCTTTATTTTGCAAATATAAAAATTTTATTTCTTTTAATTTATATTCTTCATTTTCTTCTGTCTCAATTATATATACATTTTAGTAATTTAAATCTCAAAGCATGATAAACTCTGTTGTACGTGCCTATATATTGTTGAAGGATGACATTTTTTAAGTTTCAATAATAATCAATTTAAGTTATTTAACAATTGATTTCCAGTCCTTTAACAAAACTTGTTAATTTTCTCTCTTTTTATTTGAAAGAGACGATAGAAATTGCATTGATAGAGAGAAAAGCATTACAAAGCAAAGCCGGGGCAAAGAAAACCCAGCTACAAGCTAATACGGAGCAAATACGGGTCAATTTGTGGTTCGTTTAGTTTTTTGAGATGGGTCTTGATTTCAGTTTCAACTCAAATCTCCAATTAAGACTGTCACGAATGAGAACTGTGGTTCGATACCTGCGTTACCTACCAAACCTACATATCTAGGTTCAAACACATTCTAAAGCTAGAACCTTTTCAATAACAAGTACAATTGTACTGCATGTTACAAGTGAATTAGTAACGTCTAACATCATTTTAATAAGTCACATATCATATTACAATCGTAGAATTATATACGTGATTTCATAATACTGTTTTGTCGGATAGTTGAATTCGGATAGAAGCACGCACGTCAATTGGTAGGTTACCCCTTCACTATCACTACTGCTGGATCCTTTGGATTTGGATTGAGATATTATATAAGATGCATGACTTGTTTAAAACGTGGGTGCATTTCCTATTTCGAAATTTTATTCTGGAAATTAGAGTGTATTATACAATGGGATAATGCCCTTTTTCAATGGTGGCTGATTCTTCTTTAAACATTAAAAAATAAAATTATAAGTAGTGGACTGACTTGAAGAACGTATTTTCCTTTTATATATTATGTTAAAAGTTTAAATTCTCATTCTTTTTTATTTAGTTTAATGTAGTAACACCGCTTTTAATGAAAATAAAAATTGAATAGCATAAGTAAGCTAAACTAATTGGCTAACAACGCGGTCACTTGTTTACACACGAGTTTCTTTATCGGGAGCTTAAAAAAGTTTAGTATTGCTTTGTAGCATTATATATGAATAAAATGCATAATTTTCACTCAATTAACTCAATGAAGAAATACAATAGTCACAAAAATCTATACCATTTATGGGAAATTTCTTTGCCCTTATAACATGAAGAATGAATTCAATCAAGGGGATGGCCGCACAAAAATTGGTTCATCCATAATCCGGGTTTTTAATAAACCTCCAGAAACAAAAACTGTCCGGGGCTCCGACCCGTTGAAAAAATTGGATCGTTTCTTTTTTAATTGACTTTAATTTGTTGCCCTTAAAGAAAAAAAATAACGGTAATTTGCACTCTGTACGTCTCTAGAAATTCCAGAGGAAAGACTGCTCTGCCGGACTGAAAAACTGACTGTCCAGGTTCTCTTCCGCGTAGTAATCAACGTCCGGCGTTGGCACCGCCTCAGCTGGACTGAAAAATTGATAGTTCATTTCATCAAAACCCGGAAACAACCCGTACTCCGTAGCGTAATTACCCGACCCGAATGTGCTAAAAGGGTCCGAAAACGAATCGTTTGGAGTCACTAGGAATTCGCTGTCCACGAAGACGGTCCCACTCCCCTCCGACACCGACGGAGACGCGGACTCCGCCTGCAACTCCGACATCGACTGGTGGCTCCTCGGAAGCTCCGAATTCGCGAACCTTGCCGCCTCGGTCTGGATCTCGGCCGGGCTCAGGGACCTTCCCCCCGAAATCTCAGGCGGGCTGTCGGGGAAATTAAACTTGGCGGTGCGACCGCGCAAGCAGAAGAGGGCCGCGTCGAAGGCACGCGCCGCCTTTTCGGGCGCGTCGTAGGATCCCAACCAGATTCTCTCCCGGCTGTTGGGGAGGCGGATTTCCGACACCCATTTGCCCCACTTGCGCTTGCGGACGCCCTTGTACTTTATGTCGTTTCGCTCGGAGGGCTTCCCGATCGTCTGCTTCACCATGGACCACGAGGACGACGTATTAAAGATTTAGGAGGAGTGGATTGACTTGTAGTGGGAAGTGCTTTTGCGACAAGTGATTGTTCGTTCTTGAGGGTTGATTTTGTTGTAGTTGGGGTTTAAGGAATTTGTTAAGGAATTTGCGGCTGGTGAGTATATATATGTGGGGGAGTGGGGGGAGTGGGAAGAGAGTTGACTGTTTTAGCGCGTCCGAATCGCTTTGAAGGACAACTGGCGGCTTCAGAGAGTGGCGGTACGAATTTTTACGCGGGGGGAGAGAGATGGGTTTGGATGCACGTGTGTTATTTGTTCCTCGTGCACTTCCATTTCCAATTCCCTACGGCCCCCCCCCCCTCCCTCTCTTTTTTTTTTTTTTCCTTGGGAAAATAATACAAACTCAGGAAAAAGAAAGGTTGGTTACCAAATTAGGCAAATGCCTTATTTGGCAAAATTCCCATTTATTATTATTGGTGACTATCACTTATTGTCATTGTATCCTCCTATTCACACTCGTTTATTTAACAAAAATTTAATCAGATCAATTAATCCTTCTAATTTATATAATTTTTTATTTTTACATGTTTGACTATTGATTTCAAGAGAAAACTTACACTTCTTAGATCTTTTATGCGTAAGTAAAAACATGGAAGGGTAAAAGAATGAAATATTTCTCTTACCCATATTTTCATATTTTAGTAGACGCACATAACTCAAGAAACAAAATAATTCAAATTCCTCTTATTTGTAAGTAAGCACTCCTTAGTGACTAGAATTGAATTTGATTGTTTTCGACGGACTAATCAGATTGAATTGCAATAGTTTTCATAACATGCGATCTTTGACCGAACATAGGTCCCAAGTTAAGAGTAACGCGAGCTGAGCACCAAGGTCTTGAGTTTGTGCCCCAAGTCTTGAGTTGGAGCTTAGTAATTGAGATTCGTTATCATATGTTTTCTAAGGATTAATAATTTGATGAAACTTAATACTACAATTTATTAGTATTTACCTTCACTTGTAAGTGAGTGTTGTTAGATTCGACTCTCATTAATGATGAGTTATCTAGGTAACCCACAAGATTGCAAAATGATTGAATTATAGTTCATTTTTAGTACCAAACATAGATTACATTGAATTAATCTCGTCACATGTATGATTTATACCATACTTATTTTACCCGTCAAGATCTAGGTTTGAGTTGTAAATTCAAAGTTTAAAGTTTAGAGTTCAAAAGTGGTACTGGTTCCACAATCCTAAACTTTGAACTTGAGATTCTAAACTCCTTGTTTTTATTTCAAATATGAATTTTTTGAGTTTTTTCTCATCATTTCTATGTTCGAGATCCCAAGTTTGAAGGGTTTCCCAAATAATGAGTCAAAAGGTTGAATATCTACAATTTGAGAATTGAACTCCGAGGATGAATTCATTTGCGCGGATGAAATGGACGTGCCTAACCAATTCATTTCATACTACATTCCTTCAAACCAAACTTTATGTTTTGGTCAATGGACAATTTCATAACAAATTCAAAAAAGACATCCGTAAAAAGATTTTTGCATATGCACGAGCATATACAGACGTCTCATAAAATAATAGAAGATATAAACAGAATATCACTTATGCATACAACGCATGGGTAACGATTCTCGTCTACACTCAAACACATACATTATCTAAGCACCTTTTGTCAAAATTAATCATAAGCTTTCATATAGCAGTGAGAGAGAACGAAAAATACTATAAATTGGGTTAGGAAACGGATTCGAAGATTCTGATGTGATTATTATATGAAAAGGGAAGGCAATATACTATTAATTAAAAGGGTAAGTTCCTATAGTTTAGAAAGAATAAAGAACAAAGGAACTAGGTTTTCAGCAGTGCATATATATAGGTGTGTGTGTTTGTATGTGTGTGTGTGTATATATATATATATATATCAACATGCCTCTATTATTAAAATAAGAAGAAGCATGCACATGTTTCTCACTTTGATATGGTGACTCAAGATTTAAACAAGCAATGAAGTCCAAAATCGTCATCTAAATATGTAGTCCACTCAATTTGAACCTAATAATAAAAAATTAGTCCACGCACTCACTAGCAAATTACTAGGAATTATTCAAACTTAATCGTCAACCCATTACAATCATTCAGATGTAGACACAAATCTTTAAAGAACTAACGATTATTTATAAAAGTGCAGTCAGACTTATTGATTATATAGTCTATTTGAAATGTTTTTTGGAATGAATTAATAAAAAAATAAAAAATAAAAATAAAAATAAAAAAACTTTCTTGACCATCAAATACAATTATTGCGATATTTTATGTCATAGAAGCACTTTAAAAAAAGCACATGCCAAATACTTTTTTAGAAAGGATTTCTAGTTTTTTTTACGTGCTTATGATAAAACACACGTTTAATGAAAGTACTTATAAGCTGAAGCGTTTCATACAAAATAACAATTTCACATTGAAAAAGTCAAAGTATCAAGTTCAATGTATAATATTGCCAATATCAACTGCTTATCAACAACATATTTAGATTAAATAGAATTAGAATTATCCACTATGTCAACGCGCTTCATTGTTTTGTTTATAATATATTTAATTGAGTGCCCAAATGCGTCATCACAAACCTAAGCATATGGAACATGATATTAAAATCAAGATTCAAAAATGATTCTTTAGACCAAATATATACATTTAACAACTAGAATTAGTAACAAATTCAACTACGCGTCACCGCGGGACAAACCTGAATTTATATAAAACCCACATCCGTGCTGACGCAAGCACCACTTACGCCATGCAATATGGGGCTCTGCCCTCCCATTTCACGTGCCCTCCCACTTCATATACTGCCCTCCTGTTTTGTATGGTCACGGTGAAGCTACGTCAATATTTTATATTTTTTTTTTATATAGATAATAAGACAAAAATGAATAGTAATATAAAATGTTGATGTGGCTTAACCGTGACCATACAAACAGGAAAACACGGAAGTGAAAGGATAGAGAATCTGCCTCCCTTTGGAATTGCGTCATCTAGGGCTAAAACCTCAGCTGATCCGAAGATTCCCAGGTCCCAAACCTCAGCTGGTCCGAAGATTCCCAGGTCCAAAACCTCAGCTGATCCGAAGATTCCCAACCGCATCCATGATGCATGTCTCTTCACTGTGCTTTGTCTCCTTCTAATCTCTCCACTTACGGGTCTTAATTTGTTCATATTTTTCTCTTCCATCATCAACGTAAACGTTGATTTTTTTTGTTTTTTTGTTCAAACGTAAACGCTGATTTAATTGCCTTTTTTTTTTTCTTTTTTTTTTTTCTTTCCAAGAAGGGTAGTCCAATTGTCTCTTCATTGTGCTTTGTCTCCTTCTAATCTCTCCACTTACGGGTCTTAATTTGTTCATATTTTTCTCTTCCATCATCAACGTAAACGTTGATTTTTTTTTTTTTTTTTTGTTCAAACGTAAACGTTGATTTAATTGGGGTTTTTTTTTTTCTTCTTCCAACAAGGGTAGTCCAATTAACCAGCTTTAGAAGAACTTAATTTCATTACAAGGTAATATCTCATTTCTGATTGGGATGTGATGAAAGTATATGAGAGAAATGAGAGATGAAAATGGATGAGAAAGAGGGGAAGAAATAAATGAAAACAAAATTTTAAAAGTAAAAGCAACTCAAAATATATTTTCATTTTGGTTTTTAATGTTCGTTATGTGTCCTTTTTTTAACATGTCTATAACCATTCGTTATTCATCCATTATTTTTCTTTTGTATTCTCCTCTATTATTAAAAAAACAATTAAAATGATTATGATATGATCCGTTTAGTTGGTCCTCACTTCGCACATTTTCTTGCCAGTCATATAGATGACTGAATTTGAAGTTTGTAGAACATTAGAAATCTGATCAATAAGGAAGTTATATTGACAATCAATATTGTGGGAAACTAAATTGAGAGTCAACTAGCTGATTAGGAATCCGGATCCTCTTTGTGAGGATCCTGGAGATCCATGAATCGTGTTCGTTTATCGTACATCGTATGGTCAGAAATCATTTTAAATATTTTTATTTAAAATTAAACACAAATAGTACCTAATAAAAACTGACCGCACGATTATAATGAACAGACACAATCCACGAACTTCAAAATCCTTACCAAAAAGATCTGAAGGGGATCCTGTTGGGCTAATTAGCACCCGGTTCATGAATTCATGATCACCTAACTCCTTAAGCCGCCCACCTGGAATTAATCTATATCCCGGGGTGTGACTAGGATGCAACTACCTGCAAGTCACGTGTCAAAAGATTTTAGAGAAATGCGCTACAGTTCTTAGTTAATTACACTTATTTTATTACTCCCATTTGTGTCTAATTATTTGCACAACAAGATAGGTGTAAGAGTTTATCACAAGCAGCCTCGTTTTGACTACAAGAGCAAACATACATTATAAGTCATGTTTAAATTTTTAATTGTTTGATGTGGGATTTTTATATTTTTTTTTCGTGGTCCTTGTGATAATAAATTACTTTTGAATTGTATTAAACCAACCATTAACAACCATATCATTTTGTTTATTAAATTTAATTCAAAGATTTGGTCTCCCTTAACATTACCCAAATGAAAAACCCATAGTTCTCCCTCAACCCTATTTTTCCTCGTCCTCCCACCCGAAATCCAAGGCTGTGTCTTCCCCATCTCCTCCGCCCAAATCCAAAACTTCCTTTCGCATCTCCCCTTCAACAATTAATATCATTTGTTCCTACAAAATCAAAATTAATTAATAGAACAATTCACTATTGTGCAGCCATTTAATCCCATGTTTTTTATATTGGAAAATATTAACATTTAGATTTATTTTACTATTTGAATTTTGACCCAACTTGTTAGAGTTAAGTTTTTGTTTTCTTGCTTATTAGGGGATTATATAGGTATTATAAATAGTGCTTCGTTATTAAATAGAGAATAAGTTAATCAAGATGTAGCCATGAGTTTGTAAATTGTAATCATTCCAACAATTTTGTTTATTCCTTACCGTTAATAAAAATAAGGTTCATATTTCGTTTGTTCATCCATTTATTATCAACTTTTTATCCGAGCAAGTTTCATCATTGAGAGTTTCATTTGCTTT